CAAATAAGTGGTTCCTTAATGGACGTGGGTTATAAGGGCATTTCTACAGCACGGTGTTATTTTTCTCAATTCGGTGCTAAAATGTATATTTAGCTTTTTAAGTAGTTTCGATACAAAAAAGTATAGTTTACTCCATTCTGAATGTAAAAATAGCATTGTCACTAAATATTGTGAAGTGGTTTATGAGAATAGTTAAGCACCGAATTGAGAGAGCACCGAATTGTGAAAATGAATCACGGAATTGAGAAATGAATCTCCAAATTTAAAAATCGCTCCGTGAACATAGAATTGATGACATTATGTAGATATACATAATGTATTTCAATAATCAAAATAATAAATACCTAAAACTTTTGATATCTGACTGCTGGTATAGACTAGCAGTCAGATATCAAAACCATCTAACTAATAGTAGTTAGATGGTTCATTTTAGGTTTAATTGTCTGAATTATCCATTGGAATTAAACAAAAATCCTCATCAATATGTTTAATTTTTTAATAAGGAACTATGAATCATTCTTAATTTTTATATATTATTTTATTTTATTAAAGTTATATAAAAATAAAATTATATTTCAATAAAATAAATACATAACACAGGGTCTCCTCTTAGTTTAATTATTCTTAACCTTAAACATAAAACAAATATAGCAAGACCCAAGAGCTAGATTGACCTGACACTATACCGAAGATATACCGGACGTCAGTTTGTACAAAATTAAAATAGCTCTCAAACAGCTGAAATACAACAAGGCACCGGGTGTTGACGGCATCACGGCTGAGCTTCGCCGGTACTAAAGGCTCTACAGAAGCAGTTCAATTCCGTTATCCTCGAAGGAAAAACGCCTTCGGCATGACACAAAAGTGTGGTGATAAAATTATAGACTCATCTTACTTCTGAGGCGTGTTTACAAGCTGTTTTCGAGAGTCCCTACGAATCATCTCGCTCGCAGACTCGACGACTTCCAGCCTTCTGAAAAGACTTTAGTATTATGGTACACACACAGGTACGCTACGGCAGATTACACAGAAGACCAAGAAGCCAATTCACGGACGATATCGTAGTCATGGCTGAGACCTTGGAAGATCTAGGCACAATGCTCGATGGCCTCCGTTGAGCCTCTCAACAAATGGGTTTTAAAATGAACATGGACAAGACAAAAATCATGTCAAATGTCCGTGTTTCACCCACTCCTCTGAAGGTTAGAGACTCTACACTTGAAGTTGTTGACAATTGTGTATATCTGGGACAAAGAGTCCAGATAGGTAGGTCAAACTTTGATCTCACGTCTGAAATACCGCAGTGTCTCAAGACAAAAGTCTTCGACCAGTGTGTGTTGCCAGTGATGGTGTATGGATCTGAAACGTGGTCGCTTACTATGAGCCTAATAAGAAGGCCCAAAAGGCAATGGAGCGTTCTATGCTCGGAATTTTCCTGTGTAATTGAATCAGAAATGAAAAGATCGGCAAGAGAACCAAAGTGACCGACATAGTCCGCAGAATTGAAAAAATCAAGTGGCAGTGGGCGGGGCACTTAGCTCGTACAGATGATGGCTGTTGGGACTGAAAAGTTCTCGAGTGGAAACCACGGACCAGTGGGCAGGCCTCACACTAGGTGGACCGACGATCTGGTGATGATCGAGGTAAGAACCTGGATGCGGACAGCGCACGACCGGCTGCTATGACATCCTAGGGGGAGGCCTTAGTCCAGTAGTGGACGTCATTTGGCTGAAACGAACGAACGAAAAATAAAATAATGAATTATATTGAAAGAAAATAATTTTATCAATTAGTAAAAAACGATTTCAAACATATCCCATTATTTTTGTGCCTCTTGCTCTTTAAGTTATGATGAACAGAGTTGTCGTTTTACCTGTCAATTATCTAGTTTTCAAACAAAAAACTATTAATTATTGGACAGCAAATATCCATAACTCAATAACTCATTACTGTGTTTTGTGGAACCAATAATTATTAAATTATATACAAAATACAATAACTCTTTAGTATAACAAGAAATGAGCAAATAAGATAGATTTAAAAAATATATGAAAATGTTATACACAAACATTCTGTTTTCAAAGTCGTTGCGATAAGTTAAAGTACAAATTTTCAAACTTCTGCTAACATCGTTTACTAATGTTTTGAACTATTGTTTTATATTATTTTGTTAAGCTAGCAGTAGCAGTGCATTTTTTTTATGAAACCTCAAAAAAAATGTTTTATTGTCGTCTGTCTTATGACTGGTAGTGCCCAATGATTGGTAGTTCACCCTATTATTATGTTAGACTGATTTCATTAACATTTTAAGATACACAAACAATTTATTGTCTCCATTTTCATTTAATATCAATTCGGTGTAGACGTTTTCTCAATTCGATGCCCCATATTCCGCGGAATTGAGATCCACGGAATTGAGGAAATATCACAATCCATCAAATAACTCGAAAGTATTATAAATTACAACAATTTCTACAAAACGTAATGGCAGATATCACTTAAACACTCAATTAATTCAGCAGTAATCTCATTAAATACTTCCTGAACATTATTAATTTCGCACACCGATTTGAGGAATGACCAGTGACCAAAATTTTTTAGTGATTTCAAACCTCTGAAAAATGCTCCTCAAAGCGACAGATCTCTCTTTTACACTACTCGAAAACTCGGGCGCAACTGCTAGTTTGTGGGAATCAGCCGAGGGCGTTCGTACTGTGCGTAGTTAGTGATATAGGAGCACAAAAGTAAAAATCACGGAATTGAGGCACACACGTCGGACAAAATTTAAATGTGTTACTGTAGTAAAACCCAAGGAATTACAATAAAGAAACTCATATATATGGCTTTATTAACTATCCCTTGTTCCGTGAATGTGGGTATCATAATGGGGAAGTTATTATTTCCAAAGTTATGAAGCAAAAACGAGTAAATTCTGGAAACCGGACACTCCGTTTTAAGCCAAATTTCGCCCGTTTTTGAACTTTCAGATTTTTTTAAGGCGAGATGTAAAACCTGGCGGTCTTTTAAATATGCTCTCCATCAAGGCAAGAGTCCTATAAATACGTGTGATTTTTTTCAAGACCGTACTTCAATTTTAAAGGTACTTTTTTCGCCCCAGTAGGTCAATCGGTCGTCTCCGTAGAAATGCCCATAAGAGATATTGTAAATATTTGAGTTCCTATTCTAAAATGTTACTGCGGTAATACGAGTAGCTTTTTGCTTTTTATGAAATACGAAGTTAAAACACATGACTGTAATTCGTCAACTTTGTTAACATGCTAAATAAATAAATTATGATATCCCTAGCACCTTTTGTCCGGATTAAAACCTAGCAATGTTTCTTTCAAATTAACTAAGAAATAACATTGACACTGTGTAAGCTTACATTTGGTTGCAAAAGGATTTGTTTTACAATAGATGTTAAGAATACGGTCAGTTCAACAATCTTTGTTAACTTTATGTCGATTTTCAGCATAGTAATACTACATTACATACTAATTTTGTATTAGCGCGGATCCAAGGCGCGAACTTACTTTATACTCTATCTATGGCATTAATAACTGTGCCAATTAAATGCACTTTCTATTAAATTCCTCCTAACTAGACCACAAAGAACGGCTGTTAAAATGGTTAAAATAATGCAAGTCATGCGGGCTTGTGCAATAAAATTGACAATGAAACTTTTTTATAATGAAAGTATTGGGGCAGTTCCGCTTCATCGCCATCTGCATTTATTAATTAACCAGAACAGAAGAAAGTCGCATTACAAAATCACCCACGTCCGTATTGGGTCACAGACAATATTACGCAACATGTAAACTCTGAACTTTTTGAGTATTCTGCGCGGTGCATTGCGCACGTGCGGCAACTTGACGTGACTTTAATTTGAATTTGGAACAAAATTAAATTCGCGCCATATTTATGGCATTTGGGGGAAATCGAGAGTGGCCGAGTGAGAGGCTGCTTTAAGAAGCCTTTTAGCGAATAAAAGAATTTCCTGTTTCGCTTGTAGCGAGAAAGCTCTACGATATTCTCGTATAATTGAGTTTATAAAAATTACACGTAAAAGTTTTTAGGAGTACATAATATTGGTGATTTTATTGCTCGTATTTTTAAAAAAGCTTAATTGAGCTTTTAACAAGATCTAGCGATATTTTTAATGGATTTTAAAAATTGAAACCAATTTCTCTAACTTCATTTAAATTGCTAATTCATATGTAAGGCACCTAAATGCAAAATAACATCTCAATTTATCTCCGGCATTCAGTCCAATCAAATTCAAGGTAATATGACCCATAGATACCAGGACAAGCGAAACTTAATAAAAAGTTATTGATAAAGAGTTCTCGGTCGGCATTATAAACAATACGAGTGTGACTGGCACATACAACCTTATCATGGGCTACGCTCTTCTCTCTCGCTCGCAATCAACTCAATGAGCTAGTGATAGCAATACCAATTAAATTAAAAAAAGAAATAATATCTTAATAATTGGTCTAGGAGTTGTTATACTGTGGCTATGTACTTCATTATCAGTTTAAAAGATATTAAAGGGTCACAAGTCTCCACTACGAAATGACGGCAATTTAATAGCAAATGGAGGATTTGATCTACACTCCCCACACTGGGCAGACGGGTTGGGGAAGCCTGATATTCGAATATTGTCCCTTAGTCACCTCTTACAACATCCATGGGAATAGTTAGGGGAGATCCGATTCTATTCTGCCGAAACCACATGGCATCTTCTCTACTATGGTAGGTATCTACATTACATACTAAGTAGGTGATTAGTATTGCACAAATTAATAGACCTTTTTTAACTTAAATACTTGTGTCAGGAGTGGTTTAACCACACCACAATAGTCCAAAAGCCGACGGGGTTCGAACCACCGCACAGCGTTCTTCGCAGTTCGAGTCGGCCAGTCTGGCACTAATATCGTTGGGCATGTTTCCCTAATTATTGCCCTAAGAAGTCCAAATTCTAGAGATGTTTTATTTACCGGGTGCAATCTGTCGTGGCGCTCGTCGCGGTTGGCGCGGAGGTCGATAGTGTGGAAGCCGTCGTCGGCGCCCTCGAAGGCTTTGTTCACGCACCCGCCCTGCGCCATCTTGGAACCTGGAGAACAAAAATATACTAGTTACAATAAAACAGTTTTTGTTGCTCAGAGCCAAAATCAAAATCAAAAATATTTATTCAGTTTAGACCACAAGTGGCACTTAGGAACGTCAAAATATAGTAAATAAAAAAAAAAGAAAAAGTAGCCTTTATGGGGCACTTTACATGTCTCCTTATCTTTTGAGCCCTACCAGCGCTTCGAGGCAAACATATGGCAAGTGCTGAGAACCCAAGTAGCAACAGATTATCTTCATAAGGCATTGAAGATATCTTGAAGACTAGTAGCCTAATTCCAGCCGTTGTCTTGGCCAAGACAATAGTCGCACTCAAGAAATCTTGAAGTTATGCCCCAAGACAATGGTAAGCAAAAAAGGGCACAATCCTTTGGAAATCACTGAGACAGAGTTAAGACAACGCTTAAGGCAGACTTAAACGCTAATTAAGAGTGTAGTTTTAAGAATTTCTAAACAAGTACTATAATATAACTTGTAGTATGACTGTAGACAAGGAATTATACTTCGTATCTCTCCCGAAGATGATTATGTTTTACATGCAGCAGTACCTGGGATGATGCCGTCCTTATCACACTTTTAGAGAATATTTATTTAAAAATATAAGTTTTAAATATAATAAAGTACGTGTTTTGACTCCTCAGCACCGTAGTACATTCCGCGGTCCGCCATATTTCTTGTCATTACTTGTGTTGGTGTTCGTCCGACTCACACGTACTTTTTCAATAAAAATAACTTAGCGTAAAAATGGGTAAAAGGAAACGATCAAGTAATGGTGATAATAGTGATATGGTGAAAAGTTTGTTAAGAAACCTCGTATGTACATAGACAACGACAAATTATAGTTTTATCTGATGATGACGAACCAGAAAAAACATCTTTGTCTCCATCGTGCAGTCACTGCAGATTTGCAGACATACATACATACATATTTAAAACATTCTGGTAAGTTGTGAATCGTGTATTTTAAAATTGTTATGAAATAATGTGAATAATTTCTATTTTTTGTATTAAAAATGAATATTTTCAACTACCCTCCGTGGTAATACTTTGTGTCCCGACTAAATCGTGTGTGGATACTAAACTACACGTACAAAAATCGTGTTATACAAAATACATAAACATCCCGACGTAAATCGTGTGTGGATGCTTTATTGCTTATCCCGGCGTATATCGTGTGTGGATACTAAACTACACGTACAAAAATCGTGTTATACAAAATACATAAACATCCCGACGTAAATCGTGTGTGGATGATTTATTGCTTATCCCGGCGTATATCGTGTGTGGATACTAAACTACACGTACAAAAATCGTGTTATACAAAATACATAAACATCCCGACGTAAATCGTGTGTGGATGCTTTATTGCTTATCCCGGCGTATATCGTGTGTGGATACTAAACTACACGTACAAAAATCGTGTTATACAAAATACATAAACATCCCGACGTAAATCGTGTGTGGATGATTTATTGCTTATCCCGGCGTATATCGTGTGTGGATACTAAACTACACGTACAAAAATCGTGTTATACAAAATACATAAACATCCCGACGTAAATCGTGTGTGGATGCTTTATTGCTTATCCCGGCGTATATCGTGTGTGGATACTAAACTACACGTACAAAAATCGTGTTATACAAAATACATAAACATCCCGACGTAAATCGTGTGTGGATGATTTATTGCTTATCCCGGCGTATATCGTGTGTGGATACTAAACTACACGTACAAAAATCGTGTTATACAAAATACATAAACATCCCGACGTATATCGTGTGTGGATGCTTTATTGCCTTTGAGCGTATTAATTATCCCGGCATATATCGTGTGTGGATAAGACATTTTGAAACTGATTGCATTTTGCTTTGATTATTTTCCTAACGTATTATCATATAACGTGGGTAGACGTATCAACACGTCGTAAAATAGTATAACATAATTATAAATATAATAATATACAATATACATGGGGTATTTATAATTTATTACCCTATCAAATACAAAAATCTTTATTGTGAAGTATTACTAAAATAGCATACAATAATTACCTACATCAGACGAAAATACCGGGTATTTTTCAAGACAAAGCCTTTCAAAGACTTTCACAAGGATCTAGCAACAGGTTGGAAAATATTGATTAATGGATTACCTACCTACAAATAAAAAAGACTTGATGAAACATTATTTACTTGCTAAAAATTGCGCATAATAATTACTTCAACAAAGGCAGCAATACAACTGAACATCTGATTCTGCTTCTGTTTGCTGTACGCATCCTTATTGCAACTGATTTCACCGAGCCTTCAATATGATTTGATGACCTAGCTATGTCACAAATGGAATAATATTCCGTAAGGAATTATGAAAACCTTGAGCGATGCTGGCGGTTACTTTTTGACACTCATTAGAGAATCACTGTCAAGAAGATACGCTATCACAAATTCCATTAGCAAGAAAAAAAAGAGATATCATAAAATATTTATCAAAACGAATCTCTTGTTTGGTTCAGATTTATCAGACCACTCGAAATCATCTATGACTAATATAATTCAGTAATACCAGCCCAGCACGTCTACAACTCATCAGACTTTAAACGCAAGGGGGGCATTGTGAGCGGCAGCCGCTGAGCAGTGGGTGAACCCCGGCCAGCCCAGCAGCCGCCGGCTCCGCCGCCGCCGCCTGCGCCGCGGGGCCGTCTCCGGTTAACCCGAGACCCAACTATCATCAACCGAATCGGAGATGATAATTTTATTCAGCAGATAGGCACCAAGGTGCCAGTAACTGGTAGACTTAAATACTACTAAAATAAATGGCTTACCTAACATAACAAAATTAAATGATACCTACTACTATTTTGTCCTGGATCAGGGTTATAAAATTCCATTTTAAACTTAACCATGCCAAGTTGGAGTACCTCCCACCTGAGGGGAGTAGTATGTATATTCGACAACTGTACAAAAGCCAAATTGTAGACATAGATTTATTCTAAATTTAAAGGAATGAAATAAATTCATTAATATGAACTATTTTTAAATGCAATACTACCACTGAATTTACATAATTAATTATATAACAACACATTTTATTATGTGAAACCCTTAGATTTGAAAGACTCCTATCTCTTNAAGCCAGGTGAGACGGTTAGAAGCCAGGTGGGACGGTTAGAGGCCAGGCGGGACAGTTAGAAGCCAGGTGAGACAGAAGCCAGGCGAGACAGATGCCAGGTGAGACAGAAGCCAGGCGAGACAGAAGCCAGGCGAGACAGAAGCCAGGCGAGACAGAAGCCAGGCGAGACAGTTAGAAGCCAGGCGAGACAGAAGCCAGGCGAGACAGTTAGAAGCCAGGCGAGACGGGTAGAAGCCAGGCGAGACGGTTAGAAGCCAGGTGAGACACTAGGCGAAACTCGAGGGGAGACACTAAAGCCCGATCTGTGAGCACGTAGAATTTTGTCCAATGACCCCAAGTTACCCATCCTTATCGCTCGCGCGTAATTATATTGCTGTCGCGACTGTGCGACGCGCGCCCGCAGTGAGTGTGCGAGCGCGACAGCAATATAAGGATGGGTAGCGTGGGGTCATTGGACACAATTCTACGTGCTCGGCAACGGCTTTAGATGGCGCTGTGTAAAAATGTCCCAAGATACATTACAACTGTCTACAGTATTTTAGCGCACGGGTTATGCATAGCTTATTTTTATCGCTTTATAACCTAGAAACAAGAATAACAACAAAAAATTGTTCTGAATTTGCTTTTATGTGTAAAAAATAGAAAAATTCATAATCAATGAATGTTTGAAACATGAACATAGAGATGATGTAATTTGTTGCTAAATATTACTTTTTCTTTCTTTCTTTCGTTCTTTCTTATTATTAAAACATAACAAACATCCATTTAAGATTCATTCTCACAAGAGAAAAATTAAAATAGAGTCCAAATATTTATTAAAAATGAAAAGTTCTAATTTCCTGTCATGTTCCATAGAAGATTTTTTTCATAAAAATCTAACCCTATCATGCTTTTAGTATACTGGCCTTGGTAACGTCGTTTCTCAAATCCCACTATATTTTGATGAAAGCGTGCCCCTTGTTCTTGCGAATAAGCCCCCATAATCCCAACTAATATTATAAATGCGAAAGTAACTCTGTCTGTCTGTCTGTCTCTCTGTCTGTCTGTCTGTCTGTCTGTCTGTCTGTTACGCTTTCCCGCTTAAACCTCGCAACCGATTTTGATGAAATTTGGCATAGAGATAGTTTGAGTCCCAGGAAAGAACATAGGATAGTTTTTATCCCGGTTTTTGAAACAGGGACGCGCGCGATAAAGTTTTTCTGTGACAGACAAAATTCCACGCGGGCGAAGCCGCGGGCGGAAAGCTAGTTATCTATAAATATATACCAATGAGAATGTGACGTGCATCTTGAGAGACATTCTACTATGAAGATGGAAAATTCAAATCGCTATAACTTCTTAAAAAGCAAATATTTTCGATTTGTAATCGCACTTTTTTATATACATTTGCTTATATAATCAGAATATAATAAGTAAAATCCATGCGCAAAAAAAAAATATTTTTTTGTTGACCGGTGTTATTTACTTTTCACCTTTATCCACAGGTAGACCACATAATATGGCCGAACGGCAAGCGCATAGTGCTGCTAGCGGAGGGTAGACTAGCAAACCTGTGCTGCTCGTCTCTACCATCGTTCGTAGTATCCGTGACCGCGGCCACGCAGGCCCTCGCGCTCATCGAGCTTTACAACGCGCCGCAGAACAGATACAAGGTGAGCCTTCATCATCATCATCATCATCATCATCTGCACGTCATAATGAGCTCGTGACCGCGGCCACGCAGGCTCTCGCGCTCATCGAGCTTTACAACGCGCCGCAGAACAGATACAAGGTGAGCCATCATCATCATCATCATCATCAGCACGTCATCATGAGTCCGTGACCGCGGCCACGCAGGCCCTAGCGCTCATCGAGCTTTACAACGCGCCGCAGAACAGATACAAGGTGAGCCATCATCATCATCATCATCATCAGCAGGTCATCATGAGTCCGTGACTGTACCACGCAGGCTCTCGTGCTCTTAGAGCTTTACAACGCGCCGCAGAACAGATACAAGGTGAGCCTTCATCATCATCATCATCAGAAGATCATCATGAGCCCGTGACTGCGGCCACGCAGGCTCTCGCGCTCATCGAGCTTTACAACGCGCCGCAGAACAGATACAAGGTGAGCCTTCATCATCATCATCATCAGCAGGTCATTTACGGGACTATTCCCACCTCTCGTTCCCACCGCTGCAACTCCTGTGTAGCCAGGATCTACAGCTTGACCGCCAACAACCCAACCAGTGAAGGCCAAGTTTGTCCCGGGGGAAAGTTAAACTGTCATTTCACCCCCAAGATTTACCATCATCACAAACATTACTATGAGGTCTCAAAGTGTGCGTGGACGCACAGGACACACGAACCAATCACACAGCTCTATTCAACGCTGTGCGTTCGATTTGCTGCTTCACTTAAGCAAGCATCGTTTGTGAATGCGGGCGTTCGTCCCGTATCCCAACTAATATTATAAATGCGAAAGTAACTCTGTCTGTCTGTCTGTCTGTCTGTCTGTTACGCTTTCCCGCTTAAACCTCGCAACCGATTTTGATGAAATTTGGCATAGAGATAGTTTGAGTCCCGGGAAAGAACATAGGATAGTTTTTATCCCGGTTTTTGAAACAGGGACGCGCGCGATAAATTTTTTCTGTGACAGACAAAATTCCACGCGGGCGAAGCCGCGGGCGGAAAGCTAGTCATCTATGAATGAGGGCTATCGTTTTAGTGCTCACCAGTTAGCGCCACTGTAGAGTAAGGTTCTGTCACTTGCTGGTAGCGGAGACAGTGGCGCCAACTGGTGAGCGCTAAAGTGGTAGGAGGACTATCGCATTTGCACTCATCAAGATGGCGCCACTGTAGAGTGTCCTGTCAATCGCCAGGGGTGCCAACTGTTAAGTATAAAAACGATAGCCCTCATTCCGAGCAGTTGTGGTCAAGACCCAAGGGCCAATCATTTACCATCTCGGTTTTGTATATGTACCAGTCAGGGCAAAAAACTCTGATACCGCAATGCAGGATTGTAGGCGCGGTGTATGCCATAGTCACTCATGTGTCAGCGCCATCTGTTGGTTGATGACTACTGTAGTGGTGCATCGATAGAATATGGTATTTGACACCACCAATCAATTGACGTACTTTTTAAAACTGTCAAAACGAGACTCTCCCATAGATTTTGTATGGCAATACTAGCATGTGACGTCACAATTTTGTCAACTCAATGAAACTACTTTTATCAATTACAATGCAACCAAAAATCTTAATTTACAGGTAATTAAAAATTAATCAAATTTTTAAGACCAGAAAGAAGTGTCTTTTTAAAAAAAGTTTTGCTTTAGAATTATTGGGGAATGGTGTCAAATACCCAATTATTAATGTTGCACGCCATATTGAACTTAGCTCGAAATAGTGCGAGATTTCCCATCCAGCAGTTCGTTTTTTTTCAAGTTGTTTAGTTTGAGAAGCGACTATAATCTTTAAAATAACTATTCAAGTGTCGTATGTTTAAAAACCCCCTCCCCCTTGTACGGGTCACTTAGTATGGGTATGTTCCCTGACTCAAAGGGTTGAATAAAGTCTATGATTTTGTACTATATACATAGTCTATTAAAATAATCTGTTTTGTTCGACAGGCTGACGTGTACTTACTGCCAAAGAAGATGGACGAGTACGTAGCGAGTTTGCATCTACCCACGTTCGATGCGCATCTCACTGAACTCACGGACGAACAGGTATGTTGTCTATGGTCTCACTGTGCTTATCTTTTGCCCCACTCTGTCTTTAGCCCCACTCTATTTGTCTATGGCATTGGTTGCCAAACTTATTTGAGACCCGCCCCCTTTTGACCATACCAAAAATTCCGCGCCCCCCCTTCTCCAGTCAAGATTATTTAGAAAGAAAGAAAGAAACATTTATTGCCATGGACATCACAAAAGACAAAAGAGGTACAATAAAAAAAAGCAAATAAGACAGAGGTGACATAAAACATACAATGAAAGAGAAAGTAAACTAAGCAGTGCCACCCTGTCGCACAGCGATGCCCATCGCAATGGGGCCCCACTCAGCATATGCCGTGGCCCCCGGTGAGGGAGGCCACGACGCTGGTTTTCAGTGTGCCCCATGCCGAGAGGGAGTCACGGACACTAACCTATACTGCATAAAATATACATACATAAATAATAATATTTATTGGTCGTATCGAGCAGTCTGGAATGCATTCTCTCAACGGCCGCAGATTTTTTAACTTATACGCTCACCCTAACTTTTGGAACCTATGGTCTCACTGTGTTTGTAGGTATATGGCGCTAGTCCGTTTTTAGTCCCACTCTATTTGTCTATGGTCTCGTTTTTTTATGGTGCCACTTTACTCGTCTATGGTCCTTCTTTGTATAAGGCCTCACTTACTAGTCTATGGCTCCACACTGGTTATGGTCTCGTTCTGTTTGAATATGGTCCTATTCGGTTTGTACCCTATAACTATTTTTCGTCTTTGGCTCCACACTTTTGTCTATCGTCCCACTGTATTAGATATTTTATAGTCCCCATTCTGTTGTGTATGTCCCCATCCGGTTTGTCTATAGCCCCACTCAGACTGGCTAAGGTCTTATCAAAATCCGTCCAGCATTAAAGTGTAATTAACTCAATACCTTATCTTATTGTTTGTTTTTTGTACTCATATTGTGCGAACTGAAGATTTATTTATCTATCGACCTTATTTTATCACTATTTTTTTCTGTTTCCAGGCAAAATACCTGGGTCTGAACAAGCTGGGTCCGTTCAAACCGAACTACTACCGATATTAGCGTAACTAGTCACTAGTTGTAGCAAATAGGGGACGCTTTTGGGGGTGGAATTGGGTCTACCTAAAACGGGCCTAGGAAATAATGTGCATACTATTACTTCTATGTATATTAGACATACACACACACGTCCACTTACAAGGTGGAGCGACGACATCATAAAGGTAGCAGGAAAGCGCTGGACGCAGGCCGCTACCAATCGATCAACATGGAAAGCATTGGGGGAGGCCTATGTTCAGCAGTGACAGGCCTGGCTCACTCCGCGCGGTACATCCGATAATTACCTACAGCGAAGCGCCCCGCCGGCGGGTATATCAGTCGAGTGTCACGCGCGCGCTCGTCAGGACGCTGGCGTGCGTTGTAGTATGATTATAATTCTATGATCGAGGTATTATTTAAAAATGGACATAAAGAGAAAGAAATATTGTGCGGCGTTCGGGTGTTTAAATTCGAAAAGTAATCTACCGGATTTATCTTTTTTTTTCGCTTCCCAAAGATGCTGAAGAAGAAGAAGGTATGTTGGCCATGTAGGTAATCAATAATTCTTAGGATAGTATAGGAACCTAACCTACCATGACTACTGCTCAGAATGCGTTCGTTTGTTTCAGCCAAATGACGTCCACTGCTGGACAAAGGCCTCTCCAAAGGTTTACCATAATGAATGTATACTTACCTACATACGTAGGTCATTACAAATAAGTAGATTAATTATTTTTTCACTAGACAGCAACCCTAACAGCGTAAGAAGAGTTCAGAGGCACGCGATAGAAAGAGACAAAACTTGTAGGTGAATAAAATTGTAGGTACGTAGTGCTGTGCGAGCTGAATTCCACTGTATCGCGTCGTAGCAAGACTCGCATTTATTTAAATCGTCTTGCGGAGTAATCCTTCTGTACCTGTACTATTACTTATTCTGTGGCAGTGGACGTCCTATGGCTGAAATGATGATGATGATGAAGATATTAGAACCGACCCTGCTTCGCAAAGGTACAATAATTATACTTAAACCTTCCTCTTGAATCGCTCTATCTATTAAAAAAACCGCATCAAAATCCGTTAGAAAAGTAATGAAGAGTGAAAAATTTTAACCAACTAAAAAGCATTGCCTTACGCCCGTATTCACAAACGATGCTTGCTTAAGTGAAGCAGCAAATCGAACTCACAGCGTTAAATAGAGCTCTGTGATTGGTTCGTGTGTGACCTTGTGCGTCCACGCGCACTGTGAGACCTCATAGTAATGTTTGTGAATACGGGCGCTAGTTTCTCTGCTTGACCTGTAGTTGACTGGTAAATAATGTCACCCGGCATTCATTCCGCCACTGTACAACAGTTTTTAAATATTTTTTACCTTAAGCCCATGTGACGGTAGACTCAATTTCATCCCAAAAAGGCTAATTCAATGTAGAAAACGCGGTGATATCCCTAAAAAGATGGCTTAAATTCGTTTTTAAGCCTTTTTATACTAAAAGCTGTTTTAGTTTAAATGTATCAGGTAAGACACAGTCAAGGTAAAACGCACCTTAAATCATTACAATAAGGTGCTACCTTGCAAGTGCTGTCGATTGTACAGTCAGCATCGAATTCGTGACACCCAAAGTGGCCAAAAAGTTCACAACCTTATTCCAATTGTAACAAAGACGTGTTGCGAACTTTTTGGTTACTTTGGGTGTCACGAACTATTTGGCGCTGACTGTACATAAGTAAAGATCTCGCTAAATAATATTTGTGTATATCGAATGATTTTTGCATCAAGTATCCGGCTCGAAGGACCATTTTGTGCACCAAATGTTTTAAGATATCTCACATAATAAAGGATTTTGGAATGTGTGAAAATGACTCAAAATTAATTGCGGACAATCATGAAGCTTGTTAATTAATTTTGAACTTTTCTATTTGGGAATACGGTTCAAAATAAATTGAGACAAGTCATGAGTGTCTACAATTGATTTTGAATCTTCGTGGCTCTGATATAACGTTCAATATTAGTCGATGAGCTAGTGATAATTGTTTGTATGAATTTTAGCATAACAAAAGTAAGTTTTGATCGCTTTTGATGGAACTGATGGGAGATGTTAAACCATACCTCTATTAGGTCGCAGAATAGAATCACGAACTTTACTGGTAGAGGATGCTCTGTAGCATTAAGCTTGCCTTACAGACTGCACACTTTGTCGGCCGATAGTTTGGTAGACTTCTAATTTGTATAGATCGTTTCATCCACGAAGACGCGCCCCACCATTCTTCCGCTAATGTTTGAGTGTTATCGGTACACGCTAAGTGATCCATGAGTGCACACGCACACTACAATAATGACGCTCAGATTGCTTGGATCTAACTCCCCGCACCCCGCGCGACCGAGACCAAACATTGGTGGGGCGCGCCCGAGTGGATGAAACGATCTTTAAGAGGAATCGCCCGATACCAAATCGGTGTAATCTGCGCACTTCCATATATGTTCATACTGATTAACAGCCCCACCAAACTATCGGCAAATAAAGTCAAGTAAAGAATAAATAAATGTACCATCCTAGATTGCATCTCACTTAACATCAGGTGCGATTGCGGTCAAATACCTGCCTTGCATAAAAAAATCACAGCTAAAGTCTGGTCACCGAGCACGTAGAATTTCGTCCAATGACCCCGAGCTACCCATCCTTATCGCTCGCGCGTAATTATATTGCTGTTGCGCTCGCACTTACTGCGGCCGCCCGTCGCACAGTTGCAACAGCAATATAATTACGCTCGAGCGGTAAGGATGGGTAGCTTGGGGTCATTGGTCGAAACTTTATTCGATTTTGCAACCTAATGGGTCTCAGGTTTTACAACGAAACGATGTCGAATTATCCTAGTCTATGGTCGGTCTTTATCATCTAAAAAGTCGAGTATTTAAAAAGGTTGATGTTTATTTATGGAAAAAAGTATTATAAAAGTATTAATTAATTTATTATTTAAGTATTTTTTTCATCATTTAATACAAATGAATTTAAATAAATTGTCTATAGTCTATTGGTCACCGAATTGAATCTCCATTTTTTACATTTACTATGTATTTTTAATTTTATGGTAAATGTAAATAAGTAAAGATACATTTTGTTTTAATTAAAATAGTAAGACACTGGTCTTAACGCGACGTTTATTAATGAGTTACATTATGTACTCACGGCTTGACGTTTCGGCTGCGATGCTGCAGCCGTGGTCACAAGCAGACTGGCGGCTCGCGGCGTCGTCCGTTCGGGCGGGCTTGAAAATTTTCAACTACCCTCATATTGTTTAACTAATGTTGTATACAGGGTGTTAGGTAAATGGGTATATGAGCCGACACTAGCACATGTTAACATGGGCATATAAATGGTATGGTGAAGTCAGAAAATTGATATATTTATTTTAATTATTTTAATTTTCATACAAATCGGATTTTATAAAATTTATTTTGTATGAAAATTAAAAAAAATAAAATGATGATATCAAATTTCTGACTTCACCATACCATTNTATATTTATTTTAATTATTTTAATTTTCATACAAATCGGATTTTATAAAATTTATTTTGTATGAAAATTAAAAAAAATAAAATGATGATATCAAATTTCTGACTTCACCATACCATTTATATGCCCATGTTAACATGGGCTAGTGTCGGCTCATATACCCATTTACCTAACACCCTGTATAACTTAGGTTCTCACAATAAAGAAAGTTACCACCATATTTTGTACCTTATTACAATGTGTTAAAAGTACAAGAATGAAAATGCATTTGTATAGAAAATTGGCCTAATCCGTGTTTAGTGTAATTTAATTTAACTATGCAAGTATTATTTTGTTGTTATTATTTTTAGAATTTAATTCGGTTGTTATAATTTATTTTTTTAATGTGAAAGAAATTGTTTTTATTTTAACTGTACTGAAAGCACCCGTTGTCTAAGTGTGGGCGGTTGACTGTACCTATACTGTAGCCCGTATTCACAAACGATGCTTGCTTAAGTGAAGCATCAAATCGAACGCACAGCGTTGAATAGAGCTCTGTGATTGATTCGTGTGTCACCCTGTGCGTCCACGGGCACTATGAGACCTCATAGGTTTGTGAATACGGGCGTGTGTTAAAAAAAATGTAAGTAACTCCTTATTTTGCTTGAAAGTAAGATATTAACGTTCGTTGTTCCAATTGGAATCAAGATTAATGTTTCCACATTGCTATGGATTAAAGTTCAAAAACTTTGAAGAAAAATATTGAAAGCTATCATCAAAATAACGTACGCTCCCACTAACTTGAGTTAACTGCGCAACTGGCAGCCGTGACGTCACATCGCTCTGGTACGGACGGGGCGAACGCGGGAACGTGTGCAGGTGAGCGCGAGGGAGAGTCGTATTCCAGCGAGATGCGCAGCTAGCTCAATCGGGTTGTAGAAGCCAGGGATGTTATGGATATGAAGTTTCGGTTATGGGTACTAGAATAATATTATACCGGTTTCGGTTACGGTTACGGATATGAAATCGTTTCGGATTATCCGAAAGTTTCGGATAATTTCGGTTACGGATATTAGAATATGCCAGAGAAGTAACAAATATTAAAAAATATTTAGACTCCGCCTATATCCGAAACTATCCGAATCTTTTAAATCGGTTACGGATATTTTTTTATTTCGGATATCCGATAGTTTCGGTTACGGTTACTTATCCATACCATCCCTGGTAAAAGCCCAATTTCCTCAGTGGAATTCGAACTGAATTTGCTTAGTATAAGGCTGAGAATCAATTAACAATTTTTTTATGAACTTCCTCAATGGATATAGATCGTTTCATCCTTGAAGACGCGCCCCAGCAATGTTTGGTCAGGCCTGGCTCACTCCGCGCGGTACATCCGATAATTACCTACAGCGAAGCGCCCCGCCGGCGGGTATTATATCAGTCGAGTGTCACGCGCGCACCCGTCAGGACGCTGGCGTGCGTTGTAGTACCTAATTCTATGATCGAAGTATTATTACAAAATGGACATAAAGAGAAAGAAATATTATTGTGCGGTGTTCGGGTGTTTCAATTCGAAAAGAAATCTACCGGATTTATCTCCTTTTTCGCTTCCCAAAGATGCTGAAAGGTATGTTGGCCATGTAGGTACCTAATCAATAATTCTTAGGATAGTATAGGAACCTAACCTACCATGACTACTGCTCAGAATGCGTTCGTTCGTTTCAGCAAATTAATGACTTCCATGCTG